TTTGAGTAATTGATTCTCTTGAGAGATCTTCCTGTCATTTAGACTTCGAACCTTCTTTATTAAATGATTCCAATCAAATACTTGCTTATTCAGTGTCAGAAATCTACAGTGCCATTAACTAAGATCATATATTTCCTGGAAGGGATTTTTAAAGATTTTGTTAATATTAAGGTAACAAGCAGCTCCTTGTGACAGACTCAAGTTTGTCTGGTACACAGTGTATCAGAGGGCTCACTGAGCCTTTAACTTCTTGCACAACTCTTCAAAAACTGTCATGATATGTGACTTTTTAGAGCATTGGATACATGTTGTTTAGAGCCCTGGAGCTAAAGGAGGACTAAGTCTGCTTGTTTTCAAAATAGATAATTTTGTTGAAACTAATATAACATAATAGAAGGCTGTACAAATGTTTTATCATTGGAAAGGCTGCCTTCCCAACAGGAAAAAATAAAGTAGTTATACATGTTTGTCTTTTGCAATAAATTGTAATGATGTATTTTTGAATTGGTATGTACATTTACTGTTTATAGGAGATGTGAGGTACACTCGGAGGTAGGAGGGTGGATTAAAAAGCAATCTCATATTCTCGGGAACTTCTACTTTCTGACCAGAGGTTCTTGGCAACATTTGTATGTGAAATGTTAAACTGAATTTACTGTCTCTATTCATAGGTAAAAGTAGAAAGTGTTTGCTGTGAATTATTTGCTGTTTGATTTAGTTAACCTTTTAGGAATATTGATTTGGAATCTTAGTCATAGTGTTTGGAATTTTTATTTACATTTTAGAACTTTTAAATTAGATCTGAGCTGTTGTTTTCTTCTCTGCCTCTGACATACTTTAAGCTGTGTAAGATCACCTTGCCTCTTTATTAAGAGATTTTTGGCATGAGAAATACTAGCTTACAAAATTCTTTTCAGTGTGTTTGGCCTTCCTCTCCATCTGTAAATAGTGCTTATTTCTGCGCAGCGTTGTTCATCTTTGCTAGAGCTGTAGAAGTTAGCTTTGTCAGCTGGTTTTCTGTGGAAGCAATAGGAGCTATAGTACATTTATTTGAGGAACAATCGCTCTTTCTTTTATTCTGTAGGTACCTGAAGTGCTCACCCCATCACTTACATTCCAGATGGGGAATGATGGCCAGGAGCAGAAAAGCAGAAAGCTGTTAAACCTACTCTTAATTTATAGTCACTCTTAAGAAGTTTGAGAGCTAATCCAGTGTTAAATTTAACTATTCTCAGTCTTGAACTACATTGAATTTGAGGAGATGAAAACTGCTCAGATGAGTTAATCAAAACATAGCTTAAGAAGGTGCTACTTACTGGCTGAAGTATGAGCGTGGGTTTCTCACACAGATCAATGTGGAATAAAATGGGAAAGTTGAAAACACTCTTGAAAGTAACTTGAATTCATCTATTTGACTCCATACTGAAGTAGAGATGAGGAGCTAATGACAAGATCATTAGTACTAGTAACAGTTTAGAGGCTTAACAGAGCATGTAAAATCACCTGTAGTCAGTGAGCTCACTGGCCTGTATAGGCACGTGCTTTCTGCTACATACATCGCTTGTCAGAGGTGGAAATGCAAGGTTCCCTTCACCCTGGCAAGTTACTTTTTCAATTTATTTAATTTTTTTTATCATCCATTTATACATTTTCATACTTGCTTGTAATTATATTAAGAGTTGCAGATTTAGGAGTAAGTCTCAGTCAGACCTGAAAGCAGAACCAACTGCAATGTACTTTCTATGGTCGCTTAATCCAGCAGAATGTCTGAGTTCATTTGTCATTTTATACATCCATTCTGATTTCAAAATGGCTTCTTTTGGAATTTTTGTACCTGTGGTGGGCAGGGAAAGTTTTATGAGGTTTTTGTTTGTTTATTTGTTTGTATTTTACTATGAATATAAGAATTCATTATTTGTGTTCAACCTTTTCTTTTTTTTTCAATTTTCTTTTCTCTCTCTCTTTTTTTTTCTTAATATACTGCTGAATTATTTTGCACAATGTTACATTGGGAAGGTTGCCAATATCATCTGTTCCAGATCTTGATGTGAGTTTGTGGGAAACCTCTAAATGCATCGGTTCCCTCTCCCATACAATAAGTGAATCCAGTAGGATTTTAGATATGATCACGTAACACATATTTTGTACATAACCCACAAAATAGACCAAAGTCACTCAGTCAGTAACTCAGGAAGTGGTCTCCAGTTTACACCGTATCATATAACGTTCTTTTTGTGTTAGGTGAAAGTATCCATAATTATGTGCATTATATACAAATAACATGTGTTACACGTCTTAAATAATAATTTATGTTGTGTAAATAGCTCTTTCATTCTATAAGAACCAGGCCCACTGAGTTGTTGGCTAATTTTCTTAAAGAATAAAATTGATTTCTTCTTCTCAGTAGTGTCTCTTGGGTTGTTGTGGAGATGCTTTTATTAGCACAGAGTAATATAAATAAAGTCCTGGCTGTGGAATTACATTAGGTCTTGTAACTTACTTGGAATTAGAGAACTCAGTAATCCAGGCAAACAGCCTAGCTTTGCTTTTGTATTATAGAAAAAGTGTCTTGACTATCTGATTATATATTTTGGATGACATTGAAGGGCCCGGAGGAGTACTTGTTAAAACAAACAATTTCAGATGTTGGAAACATACCCAAATCTAGTACAAAAGAATTCAGACCAGTGTGTCTGGTGAAAAAACAGACTGTATACATTCTGTCTCTTAGGAGAAAATAGATACCTCCAGTTGATTTACAGATGCCCCTGGAAAATAGTATTTCCAGTTGCTGCAAAACAGCAAGTGGGAGGGAAGGATGGAGGTCTTGTTTGGAATTTAGATATGGTTGAAAAGGAAATAAAATCAAGTATTTCAGATTTCCTACAGGCTGGAAATTGTGATAAGGCATTTCAGGAACACCCAGTGTTGCTCTTTCAAAAACAAAATACGTTCCCTGATACCTGTGTCTGCTCAGTGAAACTCATGCACTTGTCTGTCTCATTGCTAGAAGTTTCTCCCGGCATCTACATTGTGTTGGCAACGTTATTTTGACTTCCACTTTCCTTTTAAACCCTTGGAATAGGCTCTTTAGTTCAAAGTGTTTATTTGGCATAGAACCATAGGTGGTCCTAACACCAAAAGGTTTCTTAAGTTCTCCAGCTCACCAGAGATGTGCTTGGAGCTGGAGCTGGGTCAGCAGCTCAGAAGCAGGATTTTCAGACTTACAGCTCAACAGCAGAGGTTCTGGGGGAGTTTTGACGTGAAAGTCTCTCAGAAGTGGGGAGCTTAAACACATAGCCTCCAGAAAGGGCTCTGCTCTGCTGAGACCTGTGGTTGTTGGACACTCCTGCAGAGAGACCTGCCCAGAAGACCTAGAGAGTGTCAGACATCTTCTTTCAGCATAAAGTACTGTCCAGCTCTTTGAAATTCTGCTTCAAATAGAACAGTACTAAAACTGTGTAGCATAGACCCTCAGGCAGGCTGCTGCAGGGCTGAGGCTCTGGAACATGACATGTTCCAGTATTTGGTCAATCCAGATCTGTGTCCCTGTCATAGTCCCAGTAAAGAAAGGCATGTAGGCATCCTTTAGTCCTAGAACACTCTGCTCTGAGATTCTATAGAAGTTCACTAGAACAGGGCCTTGGATTTAACAGAGTTAATAAAAAAGCAGGAGATTCCAATGTAAAAAATGTTGGGGTATGTTTCCTCCAGTCTTATTTTGCCAAATAACTGAATTGTTTTCTCCAAGTGTCTTTGCCTTTGGATGATTCTTCAGAAGCACCAGTTTCTAACCCAGAGGCTTATGCTGCTGCAATTCTGTCCAATTACCTTTGAAAGTAACAGAGTTCTGTACTATCAGACTTAGTCTTACTGTGCTTAGGAACACTGTTGGCAGCTCATAAAAAAGCACACATGCACAGAGGGTGAAAGAAGGAAAAGAGTGTAATGTTCTCTTGCAGGTTTGTTCCAGAGAAGAGAAAGACCTTGAGTCCACAGGCAGAAGCTGGATTGGCAGAATCCAGAATTGCACCAGACCTGCTATTCACTGAAACAAATTTGAATGGTTCTGAAATAGCATTAATTGATAGCAAATTCAACTTCTATGGTCAGAGGGAAAAGAGAGAAATGTCTTATGAAGGGAAGGTTTGCCCATCTCTCCTGATGCAAGCTGATAACTACCGTTTGGACACTGAAAATACAGTCCCCATTCTGCTGGTTTAAACTTGAGCATAAATACTGCCTTTTCTTTGTCTTTGCTATGTGTGGGAACCATTGAATTCATTTTACTGATGAATGAGGAAATCTTATGACAGACCAGGCCATTTAAAGAGAATAAATCAAATGGAAACGTATTTGCTGGAGTTATTTAATCTGATGCTTTTTGTCCCTGTAGCCTGATTTTAAAAGATATTTCCTAATTGACTAGTCACAGATAATCTCAGTCTGGTGTCACATTCGTATTAGTCCCAGTCTGTGTACCTGAAATAAGTAGCAAGGACATCAGTAAGAAGTCCTGCCTGTTTGAACCCATCTGACACTGCATATACTGATCTAATTGTTGAAGGCTATTAACATATGATTTGGTTTTCAGGATTGTCCTTGTTGAAAATGTCAGGTAACTAGTTCTAGAGTTAAACCACTGCATTAGAAGTGATTTTTAGGAATTTTCATGCACACTTTTGCTTTTCTTTTTCCTTCTTTTAAAGGGATCTAACTTTTTTCATATTTTTACTTCTCTTGTCAGTTGTGCTTCAGGTTTTTAAAAAACCGACTTAATTTTTGTTTTTTAGACTGAGTGGATTCTTGTATCATTTATGAATTTTCCTCTTCCTAGAAAGTATTTTCCCATAATTAGAAGTATCATACGCACAGTATGTTCATTTCTATTTAATAATTAATATTGCTATTTTGTTGTAAATGTAGTTTTGCATTCATTATAGTATCCATAAAGTATCTGTGTGTGAGTGAAGCGTCTTTTCTGACCCTTTTTCTTACAGGCTCATGAGGCAACTCTTGAGGCGAGGGCCAGCCCAGAGCTGAGTGATCGCATGCAGCAGCTGGAGCGGGAGGTAACGAGGTATCGGGAAGAGTCAAGTAAGGCTCAAGCTGAAGTGGATCGTCTTCTGGAAATCTTGAAGGAGATGGAAAATGAGAAGAATGATAAAGATAAGAAAATTGCAGAACTGGAGAGGTAAGGGTGATATAAAGTCACTGGAGTTAGAAAAGTGCTTCCTAAAGTTAGTGATAACATTCCATTTTTCTTATCTTGGAAACCTTGCTGTGTCTATTTTGAGAAAGCTTGTTCTGTGGTTTTCTGCTTCAGAACTTAGTTTTAGTAGAATGTAAGCAAGAAAGTGTCTTACTGTCTGCTTTCTTTACCTGCTGAAAAGCAGAGCTGATACAGACAGAATTTACAGGTTTGAGCTGTAAGGGGATGGAGGTGGTAGGAAAATTTGCGAACGCTGTATTTTATTCAGACAACAGTTTGTTGTTTTTGTTTAGTAAATACATCAGGTTTGGTTATCCCTAAAAAATCAAACACCAAAAAATGACTTTTAGGAACTTTTGGTACTAGTTACTCAGTTACTTCTGATAAATAACACTGAAATTCTTTGTAGTGGTGTAGACACTGGTAAGCTTTATCTAATGTGAGGCTGAATTGATAGATTTGCTCTTCTCCAAACCAGGTGTGATTCTACATTTTCCATCTTTCTGTTGGATCCAGGGTGTTTGGATTTTTTTCTAGACTTCAGTGTCCCAGACAAGAATGGTAGTCTCTGACAATTCCACAACATTTGTATCACAATCCAAAATTACTCATCTTGGGAAAGACCTGAAATAGATTCTGTTGTCTGCCTCTTCACTGTGGTCAAAAAAGGAGTTTCTGAGCAGAAATATCTGTATTTTCGTTTGTTTATTTAGCGTTCGTGATAAAGAATAATTTAGAAAAGTAAAATAGAATAGTTTAATTATTCCCATTTGCCTTGTGCTAGTATAGGCTTTCTCACTTTTTTTATTCTATTTCTGTTTAACTACTCTGCATTTAGTATCAAAGAGATGAGGGGAACTGAGTTGAGGGCATTTCAGATTCTTTATTATGGCAATGGTGATTGTTCACTGACTTAATGAATTCCTCTGGATTATTTTGAAAATTGTTTTCTAAGTTGTGATTACAGAAAGTCTATTTTTAGAGATTTGATTTTGTTTTCACTGTGTTCAGAGAAAGAATCAAGGAGGTCCAAATGCATCTTTTATTTTCAGCAGCATCTGCTGCACTTCTTCATTTTTCTTCCTGCATCATCTGCAAGAAAATCTCAATGACAAATCCTCTGGAAAAAAAGACTCTGGATTTGATGACTAACCTCATAGAAATAGCTTGTGCTGTGATGAAAATACTGTACTGAATGGCTTTACTCATCTGTATTTTTTGGTAGAATGAATTATTGTTTTCTTCAAAGTGACAGAGCAGTTCAACTTATCAGCTAGATTTTTTTCTCTTTATGTGGTTGTAAGCAGCATCCTTTTAGTTTTCAGTTATTATTTTGTTTAAACAAACTTCTCTACAGCTGCGGTATAAGCCAACCAAATATGAACATAATGGCCTCTCTAGCAATCTTACCTTTTTTCTGAGCAGTGCAGCTTTCATTGCATACCATACAGCATGTACTCAGCAGATCATTCAGACAATAGATTGATAGAGAAGATGCACTGAATACAGACTGGAAGAAAGCTAAATAGTGTCTCCAAGTCTTATTTCTCTGCAGCACTCTGCAGGCCTTTACAGATACTCATCTTAAATGTGGAGTTCACCTTAACATCATATTAAGACAAAGCAACTAAGAGGTCGAGCCAGCAAACTTCTAATAAAATAAATGTGTCCTGTCTAGATTACTGTCTAGAAAAAGCAAGTTAATATTAATATTAATCATTCATGAGAATGGAATGGCAGGAAGAGAATTTTCTTGTACACATTTTTAGTGTGTATGAATTTTTAAAATTACATTAGCATTCAGAAATTCCAGTTGAGATTGGGGCTTGCAGTGTTTAACACTGAGTAAACATGTATAAATGGCCTATAATAAAAAGAGATAATGTTTTCTATAGTCTACAATGCAGTGATAAAAAATGAAGAGAAACCAAAATGGACTTTTTTCTCATTTAAAGATAAAAATCACTGCCACCCAGTCTTCAAAGAGTTAGGAACTTTTTCTTTGAAATGATAAAATTCTTAATATCAGCAAAGCAATTACTGAGTTTTCCATATTAGAGTGATAGTTTCTTGCTGTTTATCAGTTACAGGCCAAAATTTAAATACGTCAGTGACAGCATGAACTGGAAATCATTCCCTAGGATCTTGATGGAATGCTTTCACTATTCAGTTCTACCCATTCCTTCTAACCAAATGATCTTTGCTCTCATTAAAAAAAAAGTAGCGTGAGTGTCTCTCTTCTCTTTTTTAGCTCATTTTCTTTTCTACCAGTGCTGAGATAGAATAGAATATTAACTTAGTTTCTAGTAATTCAGATAGGTCTTAAAGGTATGTCGAAGAGGAGACTACTTTTGTTATTGTGTGATTTATTGCAGTCAAGTAAGTAATAATAAAAAAAAATATCTGAGAATAATCATGTTCTTTAACCTCTAGAAGAGGGAATGGAAGACAACCTCAGATCGGGAGACCTAAAGTGCATAGTGTGGCAAAGTAGCAATGCCTGATATTATTTTTCAGGTGAAAGTGCAGTATGATCTTAATACCAGAAAAATGATTCAAGGTCTCAGATACTTTGGAATTATTTCTCATTTTCTGAATAATTACTGAACGTTCTACTTGGCCGTAGTTCTCTTTAGCTGCTCTCACACACTGCTGCTCTCAGAAAGCTTACTTTCTCCTTCTCAGTTTTCACACAAAGCAGAGGTTTTAATATACCTATTAAATCCAAAAGTTGGACCTGATTTTTTTATCTTAATCCTTTATAAAGTATTCATGTCACCCAGTTGCATTCAGGCCTGTTCTATAGCTACAGTCTTGGTTTCTTGAAAAAAATAGGTAACGTTGCCTTTTAAGAACTCTTCCTAAACTGTGGTTTATGCAGACTGAGCTAGAAATCATCTTGACTTGTAGTGCTTCTACAGCCGTTCAAACTCTTCCGTGTGAAAAAGAACCTAAACCTAAATGCTTGCAGAAGCATTTGTCAGGAAGCTAAAAATAATGTGTCTGTTAAGGTCTGTTACTTTACCATGTAAAGCAAAATAAGAAAGTATAAGTCACATTCAGAGAAAAACTGTACTAATGAAAGTGAAAATTTTCAAATGAGAGTGTTTCTCTGGAGTTTATCTTCATGCTATTTGTATGTGAGAACTAGACCAGGAGGTTAGGAGAAATAGTAACATGGTTTTGTCCATGGAAGAGTAGTAATGAGTCACCTATTAGGAGTTATGTACAGTGAAACAGAAGGAGAAAAGATAGGAGGAGAGGAAGATGGGAAGGACAGCAGAAAACTGGTTGTAAACCTTTTCAATCTGCCTTTGGTTTAGATTAAAAAAAAAAAGAGAGAGAGAAATGCTTTGCTCTTTTGCTGTTTAGTGGGTGGGAGATATTGTTTTTCAGCTGTGAGTGGGAGGAAAGATTTCCAAAAATAATGTATTAAATTTGGTGCATGCTGTGCAAAAGTTTGAAAAATATTCTTGAGTCAACATCATATTTAGAGCACAAGTTCATTCATTTATACTCTCTGTGGTCAGGATTTTGCTTTTTTTTATGGGGAGGTGGGCCATAAATTCCCATTTCTTCTATGGGTGAACAGTCCTAAAAGTTTTGGTTTCGTCCCACTTGTGGTGGTGTAAAGGTTTTGTAGCTGTCTGGTTATTCACTTTCTTTCTAATTAACTGTTTGCTTTTTTATTGCCATTCCATAGTCTCCCGTTTCTCCGTACCTTTTCATTTTGTGTCTTTTTTTTTTTTTTTTTTTTTTCCTTCCTCACTTTTTCTTTCCGTTCTCACTGTCACGTCGCGGTTCCATGAGTTGTTTTGTTTTGGACGTGCGGGGTTTTTTTTTTGACTATGCCTTTTCTCAGAAAGCACGCCTCCCGCAAATTGCACCCTCCCTACCAGGTGTCGGTCCCCGCACCGCAACACGTAGGGGGGTTTGTGTGGGACTTCCTGGGAAAGTGAGTGCTCTGTAAGGCTACTGTTTGTACAGGGTGGAATGTCACTGCTGGCTGCTGCTGCTGCTGCTGCTGCTGCTGTTTGGGGCTGCTGCAATTATGCTTTTTTTCTTAGATTAAACAGAAACTAGTTATGCCAAGTACAAGCTCTAACAGTCTCTGTGTTCAAGTCCTGCCATGGTGGTTATGACCACAGACCAAAGCAGGGCCGCTGCTCTTCTCCCTGTTTTAAACTCTACAGAAGCTGGTGCTTTTCAGTCTGCTGTGTTTTATCTTTGGTTCGAATCTCTGCTATCAGTTCTTCCAAAACCAACTAAAACTCAAGTGCTCTAAAACATATCATTGATAGAGGTCAGTATTGCCTTATTCTTGGGTTTTGTTGCGATTACTATCCTGAAGAGAGAGAGGAAAAAAAAAAAAAAGAGAGAGAAATAAAAAAAGATTGCTCTAATCATCTCGGATATGAGCATCACAGCCTTCAGATGTGTAATTTACACGCATGTATTTGTGTGTGTATGCAGTTCTGCAATTAACAAGTGGCTGAATGTACTTGAGAGGTAACAATAAACATGAACGTTTGTGTTGTTTCAGAAGTAAGCATTGAGTGAGTATATATGAAAGTCCTTCTTTCAGTTACAGACTTCAAATTGATTTTAATTTGGCATTATATTGGATAAGTACTCCATGTAAGCATGTAGGACTCCACCATTTTTTTCCTGAAGGAAACTATTTGACTGAAGACTAAAAGGGGACAGTGCCTAGCTCTGGAATTCCAGCAGTCCCATTAATGACAGCTGGAGATGATGACTTTTAAGGGGCAGATTTTGGTAAGTTTTTCTAGAAAGAACTAGAAGATGCCATATTCAAGGGGAAACCTTCAGACTTTTGATGTGCAGCTGCCAAAGGATACTCCTCATCTTGTTTATTTTTGCTCAACAGATAATAAAATGTTTAAAAATTTAGAGTGATCCAGAAGATACGATGAACAGTGTAAGGAAGTATCTTTATCTACAAGACAGCAAAGTGTTTG